GGGGGGGGGGGGGAGGGAGGGAACGGCCCTGCCAATCTTCCAAGATCCCTAAGCTAACCCAGTTGCCTTTGGGGAAGGCAACTGCTCCTTACCGAGCTGGGCCGGGTCTGGCTCGCCCTTCTCCTCCAGTTTGGCTGGATCCTCATCGTCGTTCTTCTCCAGGTCGATGTTCTCCTCTTCCTCCTCGTCCTCGCTGCGGTTCCGCGGCGTCCAGGTCATCTTGTTCTCCTTCTTGAGGCGCCGGCGGGCGTTGGCGAACCAGGTAGAGACCTGCGTGAGGGTCATCTTGGTGATGATGGCCAGCATGATCTTCTCACCCTTGGTGGGGTAGGGGTTCTTCCGGTGCTCGTTCAGCCAGGCCTTCAGCGTGGCGGTGGCGTCCCGAGTCGCGTTCTTTCGGTAAGCTGGGTCCCCGTAGGGGTAGGAGCCCAGGGGAGCGGCGTAGGGATGGTACCCCAAGGAGCCCGCCATGCCGGGAGTGTGGTCGTAAGGGGAGCCCTGCAGGAAGGAGAAGGAGAGGGAGGAGAGGCGAAGCAGGCCCAGGTGAGAAGGAGGCCAGCTGGAAACTCAGCTGAAGGTCCACAGTGTGCATTTGGAGGGATAATATTCCAGTCTGTTCAGGAGAGAATTTCTCCGGCTCACCCACCCACTACACAAATAATCACCACCACCACCACCACCACCACCACCACCACCAAATAATAATAATAATAATAATAATAATAATAATCCGGCCTAGAAGGAAACCATGACAAGGTAGACAACAGGGTCGCCCGTCTGGATGCAGGCAAAGCGGTTCGCTCAGAACTACGGCATTTTCCCACTGTTACCTTTGCTACAACCCCCCACCCCCTTCCCTCTGCGCTGGATTATCTGCCTGTAAACAGCAACAAATTACACCCCGCCCCCTCCCCCTTTAATTAAAGGCAACCTTTCCCCCAAACCCTCACGCACCGTTTTTGTTTTCATTTTTCACTGGGGAGCTTGGTAGCGAGTAGGCAGAAAACCACATACTAGCAGAAGGGGGCGAGGAAAGAGCCTGGCTCAGCTAAATCTGGTTTTAAACCAAACTAATCGGATTCAAATCGAGTTCAATCCCAGGGTTTTCTCCCAGAGGCCTAATGCAGTTAACTGAAAAGTGGATTTTGGATGGACAGAGCCCTGGGAAGGAAGGGGCCACCAGAGGCATTTCTGCAGAGCGAAATCAAACGCGGATTGATTTGCCTTATTTATCTATATTTGTTCCGTAAAGATTTCCAGGTACGGTTCGGTATTGAGCCAATAGGGCAGCAGGTAAGTTCACAAACCTCCGTTTTCTACCTCCACTTATTACTACGAGGATGATTTCTCGATCGACTTGCTGCTGCGATGAGAATCAAGGATTTATAGTTTCGCAGCACCCGGAGAAGCTGCGGAAAAAGAGCGAGCAGCGAAAAGCGCCGCTTTTCTCCTATGTGACCGCCTCCCCCCTCCCCCGTCCCCTTCTCCGGCAGCCAAACTGATGGGCATCTAAACTGATTGACCTGACTTGAATTCAAAGGAGGTCAGGAGGATGGCGGCGGGGGGGATGGGGGGGCAGCGAAGTGTTCCGATGTTCACATACAAAAATAAAGTGATGGCATGGGAATCTTTCAAAAGCCAACCACACGAAGTCTAAATTTCTTTCTTTCTTTCTTTCTTTCTTTCTTTCTTTCTTTCTTTCTTTCTTTCTTTCTTTC